TTAGCTCAGTCACCTCTCAGTGGGGCAGGGAGGTGTGTGATCTAGGTAATGGAGAGCAGCACATAGCTCCAGTAGTCATGAGAAGTGTAGGATTTAGATCAGAAAAGGCCATATCAATGGATGTTGACGTTTCCTAATTTTAAAGTTATTTATAATTTTACATCTCTATATATTATACATAAAAAGAAATTGTACTATGAATTTTTGTGAAGTAACTGTAATAACAAGGTTTTGTAACTTAGTTGCAGGAACTGTTGGATATTCAGGTGACTCTATTGCTGTAAGAAGTGGCCATATCTCAAGACTATACCTTGAGTGGAAGCAGCCTTATCAAGGAGGTAACAGATGGGAGAAATTGCCCTTCCTGAAATGACCAGGAAGAGGTAAGAGGTTTGTAGAATTACTCAGGACATGAGAAGACAAGCTGAAAGGCAAAGAACTGTACGAATTCACTTGGGATCTGCACTGAAAAACAGCTACCCATAAACAGCTGTTTAAAACAGGGCTCAGGTAAGTGAAAGGATTGCCCATGTCAGAGTGCTGAGGACAGGAGGGACAATGTAGGCTTTATCAGTTTCAAAGGAAGACGCAATGGTGAGCTGAAGATTCAAACAAATTTTAGCATTGATTAAGCCAAACCTAAGATTTCTGGTTTTAGACACAGCTGTATCTGCAATATCTGATAGGAACAGCAGATACATGTTACATGGAATGAGCCTGGAATCCCTTTTTTTTAACAGTAGAATGAACCAGGACCAGTACCGCTAATATTTACAGTAGAATATTGAAACCAAAACAGTGCAAGAGCAGAATCAGACCTTTTCAGTAGTCTAATTTCCTTTATCTCTGTAGGTAGCTTGCTTTTACAAACTCATTGATGGAAATAAAAAACACCATCCTGCCTCTTAAAGAAACTACTGTTAGAGATCAGTCTTCTCACACCACAGGTTTGTTGCATATTGTAAATCTAAGCCAATAAAAATAAAATACCTCAAATTGCAGATATGAAATTGCTGAACTCCAGTGAGCCAGAAGTAGTTTAGATTATCACTGAATAAAAAAAACCAAAACCAACCCCACATAAAGAAGGAAGTTTAAGAGGTAAATATCAGCAGTTTCCTCCTGTCAGAGATCTGCTCCTAAAATACGTATTCAAAATTGTCTTTTATAGCTCATCTATTATTAATAGACAGACTTGGAAAAACCTCTGGGCTTTTATGAACTGATTTACTAATCTCATGACTTACTCAAAAGTAAGAAGAAAGTAGTTTTACCTTTGATTGTCCTTTCTTTGTTCAAATATCCACTGCAATCTCAGCAAAAACTCTTTATTGCATTAATTAGGAGGAACGTTGTGTACTTTACCTTGGTATGCTAGAAATTAAATACATTGCGATGTATTTCAACTTCAAGATAAAGCTCTTAATAGTTACAATTTTAGTAATACATTATCCACATAGAACACATTTGTAAACATAATCTCATGATTATCATCTTGAAAATGTATTTCTTTTAGGTCATAGTATAAGAGTACCATTTGCATGGAGGAATTTCATCCATAGGCAGTTGACAGCTGAGAATACTGACTGAAAAGCTGCTATCTTTTTATTTCTGATAGCTCTACACTATCCAAAACACAGGAAAGAGAATGAAATTTTAATCTGACACCTGCACTCTAATAGGAATGCTACATTCCGTTTTCAAAATCATTACAGCTCTCAGACCAAGAAAAAGACAGCTTGAATTTCAAATTGAAGCTTCATTTTGGGGAGCCAGCAGTTAGAAAAACAACGTCAGTGTGTGCTTGACAGAACACAAGTACGCTTTACTCATTGAAGAAGCATCCATTTATTTTCTAGCAACAGAGAGTTTTTTTGGTGTACTTCCTCCTCAACATATCAGAACATGTTACTCAACAGAGCAAAGGTGGGACTAGTTGCACTTCTCTATAATCTAAATTTATCTGATTATGGATTTATGGGTGCTGATGTTCATTTCATAACTCCTTAGTGAAGTTTTACCAGAACAGTGGCTTGAGGGTATCTCCAACACGAGTCCAGCATAGACAGATTTCTGAAGGAAGGAGCTATCGGGTAGTATCTTCTCATACACAATGTCAGGAGAGGCAGAGTGGAGATCAGAGGGCACTGGGAGTTCCAGGAACAGTGACAGGGGTATTACGTGTTGTAAAAGCTGATTCAGTCATTTGTTAGGACAGAGGAAGAACTTAATTATTATCTAAATAGAAACAATAGAAGGATTCTTTTACTCACGCAAATTGTATCAATTTAACTAAAATTGATGTGAAAGCCCAATGCAGTTAAATATTTCTGAAGCCCTATGAGGTATATTCAAATTATCTGAAAAACAAATAAAAATGTTTAGATTTCATGTGCAAACTCACTGAACCTGATGTATTCCAAACCAAGAGATTCTGCACAGCATTCTGCCATTGAAGAAGAGCCATTTAGTTAAAATTTCTTTTAGACAGAAGATAGACCCAAGACAAAACAGGCCCTGGGACATACATGTACTGCAAGTGCATCCCAACAAGACATTTCATATTAGTCAGTAACTTCCCTGTTTTGTGCTAGGTAGTAGTATAGCACTACCCCATAGTGTCACTATGAGGCTCAACTAAACGCAAACCTATGGCTTAGGAGAAAGAGGTGTTGTATAATTTTCCCTAGTTTTAAGCTTGCCAAGCTCCTTTCTACAGACTACACCACTGACGGAGCATTAGCAACACAGTGAAGCACAACTGCTGTCCATCAGAGAATACTTGGATTCAGGAAAAGGGATTAACCAGATTTATATACTTGAGGACAATTACGTGAGCTGGAATAATGATGTAGCATAAGCTCCACTAGACAGCACTCACGGGAATGGATGAACTACTGAATTTGCTTGTTTTATTGTTTGATTTGTCTTCCTTGGGACAATTTTTTATCTGGTTGTATCTTCATTGCACTGTCCCTTTTTGGGGCGTTTGGACTAATTTTGTCTCCTGGGAAACATAACTTTATCCTGCAAAAATTAAGAGAACCTCTCGAAGAGCCCCTTTTGGACCACCAGCCAGAAATGAAGTTGCATGCAGTCTTATTTCTGTCCTTCTAAAGATGCTGTATGTCACACTGTTCATTGACAGGCCCTGCTGTTGGCATCTTCTTCTCAAAATTTTATGTGGGAAATCTGTTTGTGTCACCTAAAGGCAATTAGTTCCCAGGAGTATCTCCAGTGTGCCTTGTCAATAGGCATCAGGTGAGGAGAATTTCTAATGCTGGCTGCTGATGGGGTGAAACCTCGTGTCTCGGTTCAAAAAGAAACACAGCAGTACAGAGCACTAAGAAGCCAGTCATAGTGACTAGCTGCCAGTTGTGCATCGCTTGCATCCTTGGTTTAAGGCACAAGTAAAACAAAACTTGTTTGTAAGATTGTCTGCAAATGTACTTCCTCAGAAATAATTTTAGCTTCATTGTATCAGAACTGAAGAATTGCTGTTCTTCTTTTTCCTAAGATTGCTGTGCAGTCCAAACTAGTATTTTTATACAAATGATGATGTCTCCCAGGCACCTTTAAGAGATCCAAAGGGTGTAGATGAAGAAGAGAAATAGTACGCCTGCAAGGTGATCAGTCTGACTGTCAGGAATGCAGGATATGGTCACATCCCGCTGGAATCAAATGGCACGTCCTTTCCTTGTCATCCTTCCCATATGTAAAAGAAGTCACTAGTATTTGTCCCTCACTGTAAAGTCCTCATAGGCACTCCAGTTCAGCTTTCACAGAGTACCTGATCTGGCATTTAATGGGAGTGACAAAGTTACTGAAAAGGTCACCCAGCACGGCTGGAGAGCATGCCATGTTGTACTGACAGGCGGGATCATGGTGCTGCAGTGCCTCGCATACGCCATGCGCAAGAAGGAGTCAAAGACAGTGCATCATCCGGGTGGATGGATTCACCAGAACCCTCTACTTTCTGTCCAAGATCACATCTTCTTGTCAAAACATACAGAGCAGCATCTTCACGAGGAATGCCTAAATTGTCTGCGGAAGGAAAGCATGTGCATACGCAGGGGGCCCCTTTCTACCCATTGCAGTCAAAGGACAGCTATTGCCTGGATTACCACTTGCTGGACCAGCATCTCAGTAGCCCTGCTGACAATGCAGTGGGCTCAACGAAACTTTTATCTGAAGGTCTCTTCTGTTCTCCCCCTCACACTGAGCTCTCCTCAACTGAACTGAAAAAGTGTGGTCAATGGCTTTGTGCTAGAAATGAGTGTCTTTTGTCTCTAAAATCACAGAAATACTCTTTGTTGATTACTAATTAGCAAAATGACACACTTTTTCCTAGGAAAGGATTTTCACTGGAGAGAGATGATTACCAGTCAAGTGAATATCCACCCTCTGGCTTTGAGGGGCTTGTGTGAGACGCAAGCATGTGACAGAATGATACACTTGATTTTTCTGTGCTAGCAACCAACAAAGACTTCATTGCACCCCAGAAAATTATCCTTTTGTTTCTAAGCAGGGGTAATGTGGTAGCAATAATATTTCATAAAGTTCCTGAATTGTGCCCATGACAACATGACTGTTGTGAGTAAATTGAAAGCTTGTTATCTTCTCTGCTGAATGCTAGTTTCAGAAAGGGAGAAACTTCAGTCAATATGAGAAATTTCACTCATAGTAGCAGTGAAAACTGAGGAGGAGTTTGAAAATCAAGAGAAAAAAAACCCTTTCAAATCACAGACTTTTTAAAAACACAACAACAGCAACAAAATTTGTCAAAACCAAATCAGTTTCTCCGGCAAACAACTAAGGCTGTCACAGAACATGGCCTTTTGGTTCACAGTTGCTTTTCTCAAGGTAGATAACCCAGAGAACACAACTCATACACGATTTATAGTCGCCTCCACCCTCTTGTCAATATATTTGGTTTCACTGTAGGTTGTCTTCATTTCCTTCTTACTGCGTACGGCTGGTGGATTACTATGCAAACTGTACTACACAGAAGACTTAACTCTGTCTTCTAGCATGGGGACGCTCTGGCACTTACAATGCACTTTGATTTTATTCTGTATTTCAGTGCTGAATACCACAGGGTAAGTAGTATAATACTGAATATGGCTTAATTCAAGAAGCTTAGTTACTAATGATAAATATATTTTCTTCACTTTTTAAATGTGGAATACTGTACAACTGAACCATATAATTTTTAAAAAGAAGAAATAATTCAATTTTTTTGTTGCCTAATTCTGCACTGGCTGCTGTCTGTGAGAGAAACCTGTAACATGGATTTCTAATGGCACATCTGAAGAGAAGAGACTTGCCTGATGTGTGACAGTTTGAAGATAACACTGAATAGATACTAAGTGACAATCTGCCAGAGTTTTTCTTTTCTCATGGAAGAAGAAATAAAGGAAGGAACATGAAGAAAATTTTCTGAATTTGTCTATCATCATATATTCTCTTTCCTCCTCAGCCTTAGCTCAGTCTCTTTCCAAGCTGTTTGCTGCATTTCATTGATTAATTGATTGTGTGATATTTGCTCCTAATCTTCCTAGTTTCTCTGAATGTTATTGCTTAGATTTGAAGGGGTAGTGGGGATATTCAGTGTGACACATTCACTTCAGGACAAGTTCTCTATACTGTGTCAAGTAAAATACGGATAATTCAGGAGGGAGCACCACAGAGGCTGGAACTGAACATTGCCTCCTGAAACTGCAGACCACCATCAGATGATGTCAAGAGCTACTGCTATAGCTTTGCAGTCCTATAAACCCCTTCACTATGCAAAATGCCCAATGAGCAGAGCCATTTGTGCCATGATTTGTGGTGGAATTCTGGTCCTGTGTCAGTTCACCTCTGCAGGACTTCGCAGCACCCCAAGGACCGTGCATTTGTAACTTCTTTTGTTCTGCAGCATTTTCAGGGTAAATTAGAAGGGCTGAATGAGATAACAGCTTTATGTCATTAGAGGTTTTCAGGGGTTAAAGGAAATTCATAATCTTCCAGCAAATAACAGTTGCACAGTACACAAGTTTATTGGCATTTACACAATTTGCTTTAAAACAGCAGGGATGACAATGCCATGAGCAGGTTTCTAGTTTGCTGTTTTCCTGGTATTGTCAGAGCTGAGCTGCCATCCATCCATCCATCCATCCATCCATCCATCCATCCATTCCTTCTATAGCTCCCTGTACCTAGGAGAGCAGGTCTCCTTTTAGTTCAGTGGGATACAGAGCAGAGGATCCTTCCACACTAGATGAAGTGAACATATTCCACCTTTGACTCACTCTCAGAGTTTCATTAGGAAGGAGTAAGAACACATGGAAAGAGAAAGAGTCCGATATGGATGAAAAGCCGAGTCTATTCAGTTACTCTCTGAAACACCCAAGGACATGATATGTTGAGGTTCCAACATTCTTTCTTAAAAGATTTTTGAGTCACTAATTCCACAAGGGCTTCACTGTGTTGTTTTTCTTGGCAGCATCACGCAAAGAGTAACCGGTGGCTTGAGAACATGGGATCCTGAAACAGGTAATTGCATGTCTTTCACACTGTTAACATTGAAGGCAGAATTTGAGCATACTAGCTTCTCTTCCTTACTTTTATGTGCTGTATTTCAGCTTACCTCACCAGATGCGACTTTAACAACAACTCAAGACCATTTTGTGACTGGACTCAACCTTGCAACGTCAACAATGGAGTGTGGATTAGAACCAAGTATGACACTCCAACTCATGGAACAGGTCCTAATGGAGACTATCCTGATGGAAGTAAGTGATTGGTTGTGGAATTGTTGATTTTCTTTTGCAGGTAGCTTGACCACCTTTATGCTTCTTTCTCTGAAGGAGAAAACAGATTCATTAAGCCCCATGAAGTGTGTCAATTTTATTTCATGCTGACATCTGTTCTGGACTTTTCACCAAGTCAGTTATGAGTAAATTAAACTGAGTCGCCCCATCATGGGTTGGAAATCTTTATTAGTGCATGCAAGTAGAAGAAATCTAATTACATCATGCTTTATGCCTCATGGAGAATACAGTGACATGCAACAGATGATTGTTCAAGAAACGACTTGTGATCAAATTACACTGATATCAGTTATTTATGATAAATGTAACGATTGTATTACAAGATCAAGTCTGAAATAGAAGCTACACGTGACTGAAAAACTGGGGTCTAACATGGTCTTATCACCAAAAAAGTGCTTAGTATGGCTCCATCTTCGAACTGCTATCCTTGCACTAGCAGATCCATTTATGGGGGATCTGTCTACAGTGATATTGCTTTCTGTAATTATTCTGAGACTGAAAGGTCAGCTAGTGTCAGACTCAGTAAGCGGATTAGAATAGTATTAGCTGGGATTTTTGTTAAATAATTTTCTATATTTTTAGTATTTTAATATTAACAATGAAAATTGCCAGTTGAAAGAAGAAATGAAATATTTTTAATTTGGACTCACATACATAAAATATAATGTTTTCCTTTTTGAATTGATGCAGACTTACATTTTCTTGCCATCTAAAGTGTATGATTGAATGTTAGGTGTTATGTGTGAAGCTGCACTTCACCATACAGAAATGGCCATTCATCTTTTTATAATTCCTTTCCGCCAACAGGTGGGAAAAACTTGACTTTAACTGCACTGGGGAAATGTAGCTTTGCTCTTATCCCACGGGAAGAAAAAAACTTCAGCCCTAGTAAAGTAAAACATGATCTCATACTGAACAATTCAAAATAAAGCTTTTCAAACCCTAAAAGAAATACTGTGAGGTTCTGAATTTTGAACAGTTTCCTTCCTTTTTATAATGTCAAATCTGAATATTTTGATGAAAATACCTGCATCGCTTTTTATCCATTCTGTTTTGAGGCAAAACCAAATGCTGATAGACTAGAATTTTCCTTGTGCTCATGTTGATTTGCTCATCTTGAGACCAAAACTTTCAGAAAAAAATACGTCCCTTAAAGAAGTTGTATAACAGACTGCATTATTTTCCTTTGAAGAAAGAGGAGACTGAACATGAATCAGTGGGGCATTGTGTCTGGAAGTGCTGTCTCTTGAAAGAGGCCTACATTTTTTTTTGTTATTCCAAAATAACCATTCATGTGAGAAGGGATGTATTTACTTTGTTCTCCAGCTCACTTTCTCATTTGGATAAGCATGCTAACCATTGCAATGTAAACTCCAAACACCCTTTACTTTGCTCCTTTGCGCTGCTAATGATGGCCTTGATTTCTTACAGACTTGGGTTATACTTGTTTTAAATGACACCTGACAAAGATTCAACCATTTTTTTATTATTTTTTTTTTACTCTGCAGAAGGCTATTTCATCTACCAAGAAGCAAGTAATCTGATCCCCTTTGACACAAACAGGCTTGAGAGTCCAGATATTGTAGTCTCTGAAAAAATATGCATAGACTTCTGGTACTATATGTTTGGGTCAGAAGACATGAATGAACTGAGAGTGCTTATCCAAGACAGCTCAGGGGAGTCTGTGCTGTGGACTCGGAAGGGAAACCAGAGTTCTTCGTGGAACTATGGTGCCATCACTCATACTTTTCCAATGCAGAGAAAGATAAAGGTAATGTATTTTCAGAATAAATTCCTTTGTACATTGTCAGCATTTGCTTTTCCCTTGCAGGCTGCAAAATGTTGTACATGTAAGCTAGAAAATAGAACCAAAATTTACTTGGTTTATATTTGTAAATACAATGGCCTCATGCTCTGTGCCAATAAGCTCAGAGAAGAAATAAACAACCCCCTGAGTTTTAGTGGTGCTGCTAGTTAAGGGATAAAGTATATTTAGTTTTCTCTCTTATGTTCCTTCCGTCCTTCATTTTATCATGAAGTCATGCGCTTCAGGTGCCTTAATTAAATGCAGGCTTGTCTGCTGTGAGTTAAGAATTGAACTTTGGGTGACTACATTGGACTCCTCTATAGAATCCAGACAACTGATTCTCATAAATAATTTATCAGTCAGCAAATTAGAGGAAAATGTTCATTGAAGTCCATATGTTGTTAGAGAATACATGTGCACTCACAGCCCAGAAAGCCAATTGCATCCTGGGCTGCATCAAGAGAAGCTTGGCCAGCACATGAAGGGAGGCAATTCTTCCCCTCTATTCTGCTTGCTTGAGACCCAACTTGTATTATTGTGTTCAGTTCTTGGGACTCCAGCATAAGAATGACATGGACCTGCTTGAGTAGGTCCAGAGGAGGCCGCAAAGATGATTGTGGGGTTGGAGCACCTCCCCTACGAGGGCAGGCTGAAGAAGTTGGGGCTCTTCAGCCTGGAGAAGAGAAGGCTTCAGGGGAGACCTTACAGCAGCCTTCCAGTACTTAGAGTGGATCTCCAGGAGAGAGGGGGAGCGACTCTTTGTCAGGGAGTGTAATAATAGAATAAAGGGTAATGGCTTTAAACTGAAACAGGGAAGATTTAGATTAGATATGAAGAGGAAGTTCTTTGCTGTGAGGGTGGTGAGTCACTGGAACAGGTTGCTGTGGAAGCTCCCTCCTTGGAAGTGTTCAAGGCCAGGTTGGACAGTGCTTTGAGAAACCTGATCTAGTGGGACGTGTTCCTACCCATGGCAGGGGGCTGGAACTAGGTGATCTTTAGAGTGCCTTCCAACCTAAACCTTTCTATGATTCTATGATTCTGGGATACTTTAAGCTTCTTCAGGAAGAAGCCTGTTATAGTCTCAGTTTACCTGATGCCTTTAGAGATAGACTAGAAAGAATATTTTGAAAATGTGCTAGGGGAAATGGCCTCATATTCGCCTAAATGACTCTAATGCAGTGATTCACTTTGCATCCTGCCTAGGTAATTTTTGAGGCTGTCCGAGGACTGACAGAGTATGGGGATACGGCACTGGACAATGTGAGAGTAAGGGATGGATCTTGTGGTAAGTCTGTGTTTGTACTGTAGTACATACTCCTTCCTCATCTCTGTTTAAGCCATTGACCATTAATCAATTCTATATACGATACAGAAGCTCCTCATAACTTTGCACAACTAACAGAAATGGCAAAAACTTTATAGCTCACTTTATTTAAATGTTATGATTTGTTGTAGTTTCTTCCTAAATCTTTCATCACCACCTCAAATGTTCAGAATAAACTATACCCTTCTCTGCAAATGTGACCATTTTCACTAGGTCTAGCAAACTTCACCTGCATGGTCTGAACTGCATCTCTAAAATCCAGCCAAAGCTACACACTTTGGTCTTGGATTCCAGATTAAATGCACTACTCAGCATTTTACAGCAAATTTCTATTGATACGAGTTCAGTAAATACATACCACTGCCGTATGTCACAAAAGGAAATAATAGTGAGCCAATAAAGCTGAGTTGCACTACCAGCTCTAACTATGAATCAGCAATTTGAGCTTCATACTTGCTCCCGTAAAAAATCAGCCAAAGCTGGCACAAGGATCTGGAAGTGAATTACAGTTTCATCCCATCTTTACTGACAAGTGTGCAGTCAGTATGACTCCATGAATGTGAATTGAGTAAGAAACTTGTTGAAAAACATATAGAAAGTGTCATTAAGTCTTAACAGGCCTCACTTTCTGTGAAATACTACTCATATAATGAAAATAAAATGTTTCAAATTTATGCTAGCCAGGACGAAGATTTCCAGTCAGGTCCACAACCTCAGAACATATAATTTTCTTTAAAATTTTGTGAAAAATACCTGACATCTTTTTTTCTGGACGGGTAGGGAGAGTCGGTTCTTCATTTTCCCAGGCATATTAGCACATGATTCAGCCACTGGATGGTGCACTAATGTAACTCCAAGAGACAAAGTGCTTCTCCCTGTATTTAACTGTGTATCTACTAATATGGTGAATGTTAAGTGAATTATATGGTCTGGTAAAAATCAAAGTCCTCCCAATCTTTTTGTTTCTACAAGAGTGTTTTATTTAATAGGCATTTTAGCCAAACTCATGAAAAACTAAATATATGTCTATTTGTCACATGAGAGATTAACTTCCAGGGCAACTTCAGCAGTCTTTAGGTTATGATATTTGACATTCATATTGTCATTGGCAGAACTTTTTCGCTTTAGATCTCAAAGGACAATAATCATAGGAACAGGTTTTCCTCTGTTTTTTTTTTTTTTCCCTCAGTTCTACAACAAAGTTAACTTAAACCTTGTTAGAAAGTATCTGTACTGGAAATACCGCCATTATCAGGATTCCTGTAATTTTTCCCCAATGTTGAAAGAACAAAAAGAGCAATTCTGAGCTAGATATGCAAAAACTGCATTTACAGTGGAGTAGGGAGCTGGATGTGAAAAAATGAGCATGTAAAAAACAAGTGTACAAGCAGATAGTGTATGCAAACGAGGTGATCCTTATACAAAATATGTTGAGCTCTGGTTAGAAATCATTAAGTGAGTGGGATCATTTTTTGCAGGGATTTATCAATATACGCTTCAAGTTATGTGAAGTCTATCGGTTTCTTCTAAACTATTATCATAAGTATCTTGCAAATCCCCCACATCCAGCTGAGTTTGAATCACGTGGTTAGCACAAAAGCAGTGCTATCATAGTACATTGTTACCGCATCATTATTCAAAAATCTTTGACTTGTTCTCATATGACTTGTTTTCTATACTACAACTTAATCCCTATAAATAATGTTGTTAGCAGTGTCAGTAATTTGGAAGACCAGTTACCTTACTTGTGGATTCACATGGATGATTGCATACCTATAGTACATCTATAACTAGATTGGAAAGCATTGCTCTCTGTGAATCAATTAATCACTTGATTATCTCCTTGTACACTGACTGTTATCGCACACTCAGTGCACAGTGGAGGGTTCACAGGGGTGCAATTAGGAGAGTACTTGAATGAGGACAGTTGTTCTTTCTCCCAAAAAGGGACAGGAATGAATGTGTGCATGCTCTGAAGGTTTTAGTCAATCTGTGGTACCTCCAGAGATTCAGATCCGTTACTCATTCGCATGTCACCAGGTGAATGAATATGACATGAAAAGAAGACTCACCCTCATGTTGCTAGCTCATCCATACAAGTAAACTGAGAGGACTACTTATTTTAAAAGATGTCTTTGTGATGGGAAAAGTATAGATGAAGATGCTAATATTTGTTAGCAAGAAGAGGCAGGCAGGAGGAAAGATACACAACACAACTGTTTGTTATGTCTGTCAGTGGAAAGTACTTAAAGCTGTCACATTCCTGAGAAATAATTATCAGTTTTTCAGAATCAACAAGACTCTCTGATTAGAAACCACCCTGAGAGTTATTTGTTTGTGTTATATGGCATTTACTGGCAGGCTACTCTCTCTCGAACCTGTCAGCACTTGTAGACGGTATGACCTTCATGCCTTAACATACGAACCAAAGAGGGTCGCATATCCAACTGTAAATGCACTCCCAGCTCCAGAGAAGCATGCCGACACAAGCATGCCAGTCACTGTCACCAAGCTAACAATCAAACAAGCTCTCCTAAGCATTCAGAAGACCCACACGTCCTCCTTTTTAAGTATAGGCAGTTCCACTTTCTTCAATGAAAAATTAACTTTATTCTCATGAAGAATAAGTGGAAATTTATGTATATTGGTGTGTAAGTAGCGTTCTCCCTGTAATGTTGTAACTCATTGTATTGCTTTGTCTTTTCTACTGACAGAATCTGTCCCTAACCCTGTACCACCAACAGGTAAGTTTAACTAATAACATATACTAGTTGTAGAGGGGTACCTAAATTTTCTACTACTAGTGCTACTTATCTGCTTCAGTTCATTTCTCTGGGTATCTCTCTATGCCTTATGCCATATAAATCTGCCTTTTCTGTTTTACTTCTTCCATATGTAATCTGTAAAATGGGGGTGAATACATTTTTCCCACTGCACAATGAAGTGGCTCTTCTGGATGTATCCATGTTAATGAGAACACATCTCTCTTTCCTGTCTCCAGAAGAAATTTGCAGTATATACGGGGATCCTCACTATTACACATTCGACAAGCAGCGTCACAACTTCATGGGCACCTGCACCTACACTCTCTCCAAGCTGTGTGAGAACAACAGCTCACTGCCCTACTTCAATGTGGAAGCAGCCAACGAGCACAGGGGAAGCAACACTCGCGTGTCCTATGTCCGATATGTGGACATCGATGTGTATGGCCACAGGATCAATCTGGGTAAAAATAGAGTTGTTAAGGTAAGGTTGGAGCCCACTGTCTTATCATCAGTAACTCATAGTGTGAATGAAGAAATTACTGTACAGTGACTACAAGTTTCCAGCTACATGCATTAATATTTAGAGGGCAGTCAGATACTGACGAGTAGTGTAAAGCTCTTCAATGCTGGAATTTCAGGACTGGAAATATGAGCTAAAATTTTGTGCTGTTTTGCTAAGAAGTGAGATTACAGTTGACACTCCAGATGTAGTTGATGGACTAGCCTACCTTTCTAGCTCACCCCCTACGCTCAAGCTTAGTTTCCATCAGTGAATAAAAGTCCCATGCTGGTTGTTATTTCCCAATTCCTGTGTGGTATACTTTAAAGCTTCATGTTCATTCCTGATTTCTAGTTATTCCACATCACTGCTAAATTCACTTTCACACCTGACATTTGCCATAAAGCAGGGTCATATAAGTCCTACAGTGACACGCTAAGGACTTTCCTGACAGTATGTCTCTTAGCTAGCTATTGTATCTTAGGGCTTCTTTAAGGCTCTTTTCCATAAAAGGTCAAGAGAAGCAGATGCTTGCTTGGACACTTACTTTCTGTTGTCTGGCATTTTAAATGTGAAAATTAAAAGAGAAAGAAATTAAAAATGAAAATATATTTGATCCAAAATAAAAAATAGTTCTGTAAGCAGTTGCTACTAGTAGATCGTGCTAAGTCTAAGATTTTGCCGGTTTGGTCTAGTTCACTAAACTCACTTTGGAAGCTATGTAGGTTCAATATTATGGCCTCAAAGCCCTAGATCGTGTGCCCACATACAACATTCACGCTAAATAATACTTGACGCAATACGAGTTCTTACTGCTGACTGTGCAAGTCCTATGTTCAATATAGGGATGTGCTCTAAGGGGGTTGCCTTTAAAAATAGTTCTTTTAAAGTGATTATAATGATTGTCCTTCTCTGTTTTTTCAGGCTGATGGAGTCAGCCAGGTCCTCCCTCTGACCTTGACACATGGTGTCAATATTTACTTCAGTGGGCAGTATGTTGTGCTTACTACTGACTTTGGGCTGAAAGTCAAGTTTGATGGAAATCACAGAGCAGAAATCGCTCTTCCCAGTACATATATGTCTAAAGTATGCGGAATATGTGGAAATTATAATGGGCAAAAAGCAGATGACTTTCTTAACCCAGACGGAGAAATGGAAGCAAATTCGGCCAGCCTTGGAAACAGTTGGCAGGTTTACAATGACTCTAGGTAAGGATTCTAGTGGAATGTTAGGCCTTAGCTATTTGTTATGCAATGACCAATATTTCAAGCAGCTGTTGTACTCGGGCCAAAAATGTCAGGTGCATGGGACGAAATATACTCCTGTGTACTTACTTTATCTTGGTAAAATTTCACAGAAAGTTTAACTATGCTTAAAGAGAGAATATTTGAATAAAACACTGCAGATGCCCACTACTGTTTCAGTTATTGTTATAGGATATGAATATTAATCCGTGAAAATCTTGTTTGGACTCTTCTGAGATACTTTACTATTTATTTTTTAATTTCACAATATATTATTTAATGACAGTAGAGGTTTAATTTTGAATGCTTTTACTTCTTATTTACCCTTCCTAGGTAACTTCTACCTAGAAAGCTTGACTTAAAAGAAAGCCAGAATGAATATTTGGGTTTGTTCCAGGCCTCTCAGAGGTTATAAAGTTGAGATTATATTAAAATCCAGATTTGTATTCTGAGTGTTTGAAATGTAGAGCTTTAAAAGATGTCATATTTAGTCTGGGGACAGCCCTGTAGCTTTGTTAGATGTGATTTGAAAATCGTCTAAGATACTAGTGCATCCAAAGCTCATCAGTGAATTTTTCCACATCTTTTTTTTTCTACATTAGGTGCTTGCCAGATGATGGCCATACTCCAAATTGCACTGCTGATGAAAAACATATCATCCAAAGCAATGAATACTGTGGTCTGATCACAGATCCCAATGGTCCGTTCCAGAATTGCCACTCAGCAGTTGATCCAGAAAGTTATTCTGAAGCCTGCCAGTATGATCTCTGTGAACTTCATTTGAACAATGCAGCTCTCTGTGAAAACCTGCAGGCTTATGCAGATGCATGCCAAGCTGCAGGAGTCCAGCCAACACCATGGAGAAATGCAACCTTCTGCCGTATGTATCAAAGATTACTAGAAATTAACACTTGTCAGGAGGATATAATTAAGAATTCCTGAAGACAGAGCATTACAAGTTTTAAATTCATGTAGTATTGTGAATCTTGACTGATCAGGCTAAAAATTTCAGGGTTATGTGTAGTCCTCATTTTGATTCCTTTGGGAATATCCCAGTGAAAATAGTTAAACTGCTTCACAGGAAAGGAGAAAATACTGCCCAGTCCATCTTAAAACAGAATTGGAGTATTTTCCTTTCAATTTCTCTAGCATCCCTATATCTTGGTCCAGGAGTATTAAGTGTGTGGATTTTGCCTAAGTTATGCCTAAACTTAAGTGCCTTTGGGAAAACCTGAAAAATATCATTTAATGCTTGGTAGACATGTAAGAGTTTTATCCATCCTCCCTGCTGAGAGCCCGAGCTGCCTTCTCCTGTGTTCCTGGCCTCTTTACCCTGCAAGCTGCCCAGGCACAGAAGGGAAGCTTTGTCTTTTCCTTCTGCAGTGTCAGCAAAACCACATCAAGTTGGATACATTATATATGAACACAGAAAAAACAGGAGCCAGAGCAGATGAAAGACAGAGCTATAGATCGGGATATGCAATCCAGGCAGTCTGGGACAGTAAGAAAGGAACTTTGACTAGGAATTGGAGAGGATTCATGAACAGGCTAAATGGAAGGCCCTGGATTTAGAGATGGCAAACAGGAGTTAGAAAGGAAAAAGAGATTTTGCCTGGAAAAGAGGAAGGACAGGTTGGGACTGTCTAGTCAGAGAGTCAAGGAAGCACAGACTAGGTAGCTGATCCAGGGGTCAGAGCTCGTTGTTCTTGCAGGAATAATGAAATCAGAGCTGATGGGAAGAATAAACCTGACACTGAACAGACAATATGTCTGAAACTCATAGTCTGTAGCAGTGAGAGGAGAGCGGGATGAAGGAGAAACATCTGATGAGCTGAGCAGATCTGGGCTAAAGGGAGTAGAATAGTATTTGAAACACTGTCAGTGGCACAAACTTCCATACGTACGAGAGGGGAGTGAGTGCTGGCCCTTCACCCCATGGGTATGGTGGAAAGCATCAGAGTGTCCTGTACAGGCATAGTGATGCGTGGTTTCAGACAGGAGAGGAGGCAACACGGATAGGCAGCCCTGGAATTAAATGCCAGGACTGCAGAAAGTAGCCTGTGCAATAGAGATTGTAACCACTCTTAATGTGAGTGGAGGAGGTAGTAAAAACATGAGTAAAAACCAAACCATGTTATCTTTACAATAGGATTTAAATACTATCTGACAGTCTTGAACAGATCTGCTCCCACTAGAAGCAGTGCAAGGAACATGAAATAGTGATCCAGTGCTGTAGGTGCCTTCTGTGCTAAAGGAGATGGGAAGGCTAAATAGACTTGTCTGTAAAGACCGGAATGACTGAAGCCTGATTTCCTTTTGACTTGTTCTTCACATTTGACTACAGACTCTAGCTGGAACATTTTCTCTACTGGCAACATTACAGAAGTTTTTGTCTCATAGATGGTTTCTAAGCTGGCGTGAGCCCTCTCTTGTAGCTGTTCTTGCTGCAGGAGCATGCAACATCTCTCCTCTTTACCTTGCATCTATTTCATTGAAAGGACCTGAATAAATTTTTGTCCTCTATCAACCTCACCAATCTAGTTCCAATAAGTCAACCGGGTGAAATTTAGTAAGTGGAGAGTGAGCACAGAAATATACAATGTAATCATGTGATCTCCGTCTGCTTAGAAAAGCAGGCTAAAAATAGAGTGAGAAAATATGTCATTAAAAACTGAACCGCATCACACAAATATAGAGAAGCTGAAAAAAAAGATTGTTCAGGAAGCTTCTGTTCTGGCATCTTTCTACCTGAAAATGTCAGTGTTTAAGACCTCTAATTAGCTTAGGTCTCTAAATGTTATGTATGTAACATGATGTAAAAATAGAATAAAGCACTTTTACATCCTGATTATTTAACAAACATTAAAGACTTTGGTGAAGTTAAAAAATATTAAGAAGTTACAATATGATTAGAATTAAATAGACGACTGCAACCTAAACAGGGCACATGTCTAGGACAAATAACTAAACATCACACTAATATCCACACTAAAATGCAAGAATTAAAAGCAATCAGGAAAAAAAAGCAAAAAAGGAATAAGAGGTCTACTAAACAATAATCTCCATGAGTGAAACTTTAAGTAGCCCAAATCTCAAAAGAAATTAAAGGGTGGTGAGAGGGCAAAGGCATGCATCTAACGTTTTCAGAATTCTCAGATGTTCCCAGATATTAGAAACAAAACAGAATGTTGTATTAAACAAAACCAAATAGTTCAGTAGTTTAAAGGTTTAATAAAAAAGTTTATCTTCTATTGCACAGCATTAGCCTGCCCTGCCAACAGTCACTACGAGTCCTGTGCTGCAGCCTGCCCTGCTAGCTGTGCTGACCCGATGGCTCCCGTTACCTGCAGCCTGCCGTGCGTGGAGGGCTGCGTGTGCGACAGTGGGTACCTGCTCTACAATGACCGATGTGTGCCCAGCCAGCACTGCGGGTGCTGGCACAACGGGCAGCACTACCCCGTGGGCTCAGAGTTCTGGACGGACAACACCTGCTCCTCCAAGTGCACATGTCCTGCGCGGGGAAGCAAAGTCCAGTGCTCCAGTGCCTCATGCCCTGCGGGCCAGTACTGCGGGGTGCAGGATGGGAAGCCCGTGTGCCTTGAACTGTCCTACGGCATCTGCCACGTCCACAGTGACCCTCACTACAACACCTTTGACAAAGTGACGCACAGCTTCATGGGCAACTGCACCTACACC